CTTGCTGATGCTCCCACTTGGCTCCCCAGCTCTCAGCCAGTAAGTTTAGTTGATTCATCAGAAGCCGATTTGCCCAAAATGGCCAATGTGCTGAATTTGCTCGTGTGGTTGTGGTTGGCCATTTTATCCTCAGCACCACAGTTTAAGGAACATTACGCCCTAACCCCGGCCCCGGTCCCAACCAGTGCAGCTCTAGCAGGCGAGGGGCGGGGGCGCTGGGGGGCGCAGGAGGGGTGCTGGGGGGGCAGGAGGGGCGCTGGGGGACGCAGGAGGGGCTCAGAGGGGCACTGGGGGGCGCTAAGGGGACTCGGAGGGGGTACTGACATGACACACAAAAACACGAAGCATTTGTAAGGGGAGAGGCTTCTCCAAAATGATGAATACGTTCATAAGGCATACTCCCATTCAGAAGTAGCCGTTCTTTGGGGTCTAGCAACAGCAGGACGGGGAAGAAGCGATTCTGAATTGCTCTTTGGAGGACCATGGAAACCAGCCAGTGAGAAGCACAATCAGAATTGTGAATGGTCAGAACCGGCTTTTAGCGAGATGCCCGGGGGCTCCCATCTCCCCGTGGGCTCTGATCATAGCTAGCAAACGACCCCACCGACCCTCCCCACCCCAGTGCAGGCAGGGATCTTACTAGAATACAGAGCTGACCTAGTCTGTGCCCTGTGTCTGGCTCCAGGTACTGGTGGGCAAGGAGCAGGGCCACCCCTTTGCCAAGGGGCTGCTGGTGGAGCCCCATCGCCCCCGGGTCCTGCCCAGTGTGGGGCGGGGAACAGATCCCAGGGTGAGGGCTTGTGCATGGGCTCACAGCCCAGCCCCCGCGTACCTGCCCCCAGCCTCAGCAAAGTCAGCCTTTCCAAGAGCACCTCGTGTTTCTATCACTCTCACTTTCGCTTCTGCTCTTCTCTCTGCCTAAATTCTCTGCTTCTACCCTTTTCACCAGCAAACTCCTACTCATCCTTCAAGGCCCAGGCCAAATAGATTCTCCCGGTCATTTCCCCTCCCTGCTTGGTAGACGGAGCAGATCCTCTTTTCTCTGGACTTGCACGATCTTCCAGAGCTCATTCGTCTGGTGCATGTTTGTCGAGCTCCCTCCTTCCAGGCGCTGGGGCTAGAGCACGACCTAGACACGGTCCCCGTGGCGGAGGTGGGAGCCAGCCCCACCTCACCCCTCTCCCACTGCAGCGCGGTGTCTGGCGCTCTGCATGCCCCCAAGGCAACAAAGAGGGGGAGGGGTCCTGGAGAAACTGGGTCAGGGCTGACCTTGGTGGCGCCTGAGTCCGGCCAGAGGCCCGGGAGTCACCCTGCAGCTGCCTCCAGGCTTCCCCCAGGGCACACGGTCAGGAGGCCGCGATGATGCTGGGCTCCCCTGGGCTTGGGCGTGGGCGGGGGGCCCTGGCTGCTCACGCCTCTTGGCAATAAAGGGGCGCTCACCCCCTGAGCCTGCTGATCCCAGGAGGGGGATGTCGAGCAAACGGACCATAGACAGTCTCGAGCCCTGTGTCCTATTCCCAACCACTCCACTGGGAGGCTTGGAGCGAGTCGCTAGACCTCTCTCTGCCTCCGCTTCCTCATCTGGAGGAACTGGGGCTGGGTTCACCGGGGTGAGGGCCTGAGGGGCACCCAGCAGTAGCTGGGACATGCTGGCTGGCGGCTGGAAGGTAGGGTCTCACCTATCCAGGCCTCCGTCTTCCAGGTCTCGGAACTCCGGGTTGGTCCAGGTGGAAAACTTCTCCAGGATATAGGCAGCCAGGCCCACGGGAGAGTCGTTCAGAGCGCAGCCTGGGGTGGGGAGAAGTGAGGGAGGGACTCAGGCCTGGGACCAGCGAGCGGTCAGCACCCCGTGTCGTGGCACAGCTCTGCCCTAACCCTGGGGTGCTCAGGCACCCCCATCTACTTAACCATCGGCCTTGGAACTCTCATCTGAGAAAAAGGGGTAACACCGCCCCACTGCATGGGCAGCTTCCCGCGTTTGGGGAGATCCAGATGGGAAATATGTATGAATGCTGGTTTTAAAAAGGTGGGGTTTGGGACACCTGGCTGGCTCGGTCCGAAGAGCATGCAACTCTTGATCCTGGGGTCGTTGAGTTTGAGCCCCACGTTGGGTATAGAGATTACTTAAATAAACTTAAAAAAAAAAAGGTGAGGTTTTTAGTTTATATGCTCTGGTTTGTGAAAACTAAGAAACAACCTAAAAGTCCAAATTAGGGGAAAAGTTCCAAATGAATATCGACCCCCTCCACCTGCCCCAGTCCTGGAGCTGCCAGGTCCCCAGGCTCCCTCCTCGACTCAGGCTCAGGGTGCAGGGGTCAGGGGTCAAGGCCCCGGAGCACACCGAATCAGATCAAACGGGTGTTTGGAATGCGCTGGCCATGCATCGACTGACCTCTGCCTAGAAGTGCAGGGTGAGAAAGAGTTCGGGGCCCTCCCAGGAGGTTTTCATCCTGGAGCAGTGTTGCGGGGTGGGTAAGGCCCCCTGGCCATGCGCCTGGCTGAATGGGAGGGGTGTGGCCCCCGCCCCAGCAGAGAAGGCCGCAGCATCCGGAGCACGCACTCACCCACAGTGTCGGGTTTGGTGCCCTGGATGTGCATATAACCGCTCTCCCTCATCAAGCTGTAGAAAACCTTCTCCTTGAAGGGGTACAGCAGCTCTATATCCCTCTGGGTGTAGCCGAAAAACCTCGGGAAACGCCGTCCCAGGAGAAGGGTCAGGGTGCCGGGATTTAAAACGAAAGCCATGTTCAAATGCAGGCCTTTCACGTGGCTGAGGGCGGAGAGAGGGTCCAGGTGAAGCTGATGCAGGGCTGGGGAGGGGAGACGAGCAGGAGGCCGCGGGGCTGAGGTGCGCAGCGCCAGCCCTCTTGGAATCTGCGCCTCTGGGGTGGCCCCATGATGGGGAGGAGGGGGTTGGCGAGGAAAATACAGAGTTTCTAGGAAGTTCTGGGCTCTTCTGGGGCTTAGTGCACCAGAAATGTCTACTGCCTGACTTTCCCCTCCTCCATCTGGCCCTTTCTGCCTGGGCACCTGGCCCGAGTTCCCAACCCTGTGTGACACCCAATAGAGAGAGAATCCACGTCAAGGTACCCCAGGCATGGCAGGGTGATGGGGGGGCCTCCCTCCCCTGCCCCAGGCCCACAGACACCCCGCCTGGGTGGCCCCTGGCAAGAGGACGCTCTAAGTCTCAGATAGCGTGCCCAGGAGGAATCCCCTGCATGGATGGCTGCCCCACCCACCTGACAGGGACCCTCACCTGGGCACCATCTGGGCCATGTTGGTGCAGATCAGGGACCCCCAATCCCCGCCCTGAACATAGAATTCCTGGAAGCCCAGCCGTAGCATCAGCTTATAAAAGATCCTGGCCGTGGCCACTGAATTCAAGCCTGGTTTGAAGGGGAGAGAGAACAGAGTTACAGGGAGGTCACTCCCTTGGTCCTCTTGGGCGCCTAGGAAATTCCTCACCTCCCCCCACCCCGTTTGCCCCAGGCTGGGGTCACAGTGGCTCACGGGAGGGGAGAAGGAGTCCGGGGGCCCCACGGTGGCATGGCCAGCACCCAGCAGGCAGCCTGGGCATCTGCGTTGCAGAGAGGGACAGCGAGGGTACGGCCACACAGCAAGGCCATGGTGGGCTCGGGCCAGCACCACGAGGTTCTGGAGGCCCTGCTGCCCGTGGGCTGCTCTGCCCATCCCCTGCCCACGGCACCCGGCAGAGCCCCAGAAGGGGCGCTGGCCATCTGGCCCCCCAGGCTCCGAAGGGAGCTGTCCCGGCTGGCTCCCTGCCTGTGGGAAGACCTGGCCCCCAGCAGCCCCTGTACCCTTTTTGGAGGATGCCTCTGAGAAGCCATAGCCAGGAATGGAAGGGCAGATGACTTCAAAAATGTGCTCCTCGCTCAGGCCGTGGTTCCTGGGGTCGGTCAGGAGCGGGATGATCTTATAAAACTCGTAGAAGGAGCCGGGCCAGCCGTGCACCATCAGCAAGGGCTTCGGGGTGCAGCCGGACGGCGGCTGGGGGGGCTTCACGTGGATGAAGTGGATGTCCAGCCCTGGGGGGCAGAGCACCGTCAGCTAGCAGGGAGGGGGGAGGCCCCGCAACGGGGGAGGCTGCAGCCACGGCCCTCCGCGTGTCCAGGCAGGCTCTGCACCCCCCACCCCCCCAGAGCCCGGGCAGTGGGGGCGGCGCCCTCAGGGGCCCACGGTGCTGGGCTGGCTGCGTGCCTACTCAGTGCTCCAGCCGCACGGCCGCCTTGCCATGGACAGACCGTGACCATGCCCCCTACACATCGGGGCACGAGCCCTGCCAGGCCGGGGCAGGGCTGCTCGCGCACTGCCCGCTTCCCAGAGCCCAGCGCAGGTCCTGGCTCCTGGTGGCCCTCGGGGAAGGCTGCCTAATAATGTGAAGACCGGGGGAGGGGTGCCCGGCCGGCTCGGTCGGTAGAGCACATGACTCCTGATCTCGGGGTTGTAAGTTCGAGCCCCGTGCTCGGTGTAGAGATCACTTAAATATAAAACCTTTAAAAAATAAAAAAAGATTGAGGGACATCTGGGTGGCTCAGACGTTAAGCGTCTGCCTTTGGCTTAGGTCATGATCCCAGGGTCCTGGGATCGAGCCCCGCGTCAGGCTCCCTGCTTGGCAGGGAGTCTGCTTCTCCCTCTGACCCTCCCCCCTCTCATGTGTGCTCTTTCTCTCAAATAAATAAATAAATAAAATCTTTAAAAAAAAAAGTTTTCTCCGAGCAATAAAATTTCAAGTGAATTATTTTTTTTTAAATGATTTTATGTATTTATTTGAGAGAGAAACAGAGAGAGCACAAGTGGGGGGTGGTGGGGGCAGAGGGAGAAGCAGGCTTCCCGCTGAGCAGGGAGCCCGACGCAGGGCTCGGTCCCATGACCCTGAGATCATGACCTGAGCTGAAGGCAGACGTTTAACCGACTGAACCACCCAGGTGCCCCTGAATTATTTGCTTTTTTTGTGTTTTCTGTACTTCCTAATTTTTCAACAAGGGATATAAATTCAAAGCATAACTTTAAGTGGAGACATTTTTTTAAAGTTGAGTTGCATGCTGGGCACTGGGAACACATCCAGGCCGAGGGTGGCTGAATGGGCTCCAGGCCCCCCAGAGTCCCTTCGAGGATGGTCCCTTCCCAGGCAAGTGGCCCGGAGAGCACCTGGGCGTTCAGGGCAGACAGCCTGCGCTGCCGTCACACCTGCAGCCCTGCACCACGACCAGCTCACGTTCTGGTGGGTTATTAATTCATTACATAAATAATATATGTTGACTGTAAGAAACGGAAAACAGATAAATCAAAGGGGGAAAAAATCACATGTAGTACCACTATCTGGAGAGAACACTGTGTTGTCTTTCCAAATTTTTAAAAATAAATTTGTTATTTTGGAACAATTTATTTTAAGGGATCCCTAATGCCCAAGGTGGGGCTTGAACGCATGACCCCAAGGTCAAGACTAGCATGTTTCGGGGCACCTGGGTGGCTCAGTCGGTTAAGCGTCTGACTCTTGGTTTTGGCTCAGGTCTTGATCTCACAGTGGAGCCTACATAAAAAAAAAAAAAAGTCTCACGCTCCACAGAGCCAGCAGGCGCCCTGATCTTGGAACAATTTCAGATTTATAGAAAAATAGTGAGGACAGTACAGGAAGTTCCTATGAACCCACACCTAGTTTCCCGGTCATTAACGGCTTACATTAGTCCGGTACATTTGTTACAAGGAACGAACCAGTACTGATATGTTAATAACTCCACTAAAGTCCATCATTTATTCAGATCTCCTTAGTTTTAGAAACATTTTTATTTTTAAAATTTTATGGTAGGAAGAGCATTTAGTCCCTCCTTACAAATCGCTGAGTATGCCATCCAGTACCGCCGGCCGTGGGCACTATGCGGCCTGTCAGGTGTCTAGAACTTACTCATCTGGCATAACTGAGACCCTATACCCGTTACCGAGCGTCTCCCCATCTCCCCGCCTCCCCACTTCCCGGGTCCCACCATCCTCCTCTATGCTTCTACGAGCTGGACAATCTAGGAGCCCCCCATACGTGGGATCGTGTGGTATTTGTGCTTGTACGACCAGCTTGTTTCATTCAGCAGAATGTCCAGGTTCATCCACGTGGTCACCTAGGGCAGGGTTTCCTTCTTCTTAAAGGCTGAATAACACTGGTGTCCACAGACAACGGAACACAGCTCAAATGTCCTGAGTTTTTACCTGACGTCCTTTCCCTGTTCCAGGATCCCATCCAGGACCCCACATTACGTTCAGTTGTCTTGTCTCCTTAGACTCCTCTGGACTGTGGCAGTTCAGACTTTCTTTTTTTTAAAAATTTATTTGAGAGAGAGCAAGAGAGCAAGAGAGAGCACACACAAGTGGGGGGAGGGGCAGAGGGAGAGGGAGAGAGACTCTCAAGCGAACTCTGAGCTGAGCGAGGAGCCCGACTTGGGGCTCTATCTCACGACCTCAAGATCACGACCTGAGCTGAAACCAAGAGTCAGACGCTCAACCGAGGGAGCCCCCCAGGCGCCCCCAGTTCAGACTTTTAAAAAAAAATACATCATAACTTTCTTCAAACAAAAATAGAACCCTACATCCATTCTATCGTGGAGCCTTCTGTGCATGTCCCTCTATGTTGCTGTGTTTACTCCTGTTCTAGAGTTCTTTTCGGAAGTAACCTTCCCTCCTTCGGAACACGCTGCACGATGTGAGGGATTTCTAATGCATCTGCGTGCAGAGTTGGGGAGCCCCATGCACACACGTGGGCTGGAGTGCATGGGCGATCCCCGGAGGCGTGGGTGTGAGCACGTGTGTGAGGGCAGAAGCATCCCGGGGCGGGAACCGGTGGCCACGGGGGGCAGGGGCGAGACCGAGGCTGCTTTTTCACCATGTCCTTGCATACTGTTCGAATTTTAAATACTTGAATTTTAAAAATGAAGAAAAATGTTAAAGCCCATACTTCCTCATTGACTCTGCAGGGGGCTTCCCTCAGCGGAGGAAGCAAGCCGCCCTCCCCGCCGGCCAGGTTTTCCCGGTTTGTCTATGGTGCTGTGGGGTGCTCTAGGCTGTCCGCTCTGAACCCAGGAGCCGAGCTGGGCACTGGGCCTGGTGGGTGGTGACGGGGGGGACGGTGGGGGATGTCAGGGCCCAGGGCCCGAGCCGGGACAGGGGCTCGAGATGAAGGGTACAGGGCCGAGCTGGCCCTGGCCCTGAACCTCGGCCTCCCGGTGACTCAGCAATGCTGTCCTCTCTGGAGGGGATGGGCTGGGCCTGAGGCCTCCGAGGCCCTGCCTGCTTGCTCCTAGACTCTGTGGCTAGAGATTGATCTCCGGAGGAAGGCCCAGGCCTCCTCACAGGACAGGGAATCACATGCAGAGCCCAGAATACTGGGGTAGGGGCAGAGAGGACTCCAGAAAGGTCTGAGCCTGAGGGACCAATGAGGACGGCAGCAGACGGAGGGAGGAGGGAGGCCTTCTTGGACCACCCAGCCCGGGGACCCAGGGAAAGATGCACGAAGTTTTGCTGGGCTGGGGCTGGGCCGCGAGCCAGGGGAGGCCGCTGGACCGCACGTGGGTTCAGTCGCAGCGGGCTGCGGTCCGGGAGGACTCGATGCCCGAAGTCGCCCCCCTTTGGAGCGCTTGCACTGTTTTGTGCTGTGATGTCCAGGGGGTAAGGCTTTCTCGAGCCTGCAGCCTCCAGGAAGGGAAGAGCCCCTTTGTGCTGCTTGCCTCTGGGTTTTTGAATGTGCTGTTCCCTCCTCCTAGACCACCCTCCCCACATAAGTGGCAAACTCCTATTCATCCTTTAAGTCTCAGCTCAGATGCCACCTCCTCTAGGAAGCCTTCTGTCACACTCCCGGGTGGCATGGGCTCACGAAGCTCCCAGAGGCTCCTCCCTCACGGAACCCCTTACCCTGTGCTGGGATGGTTAGCATCACCCCAGAGTGAAGGCAGGGACCCCGTTCTCTGGCTGTGTGTCCCCAACCCCAGCAGAACACCTGGGTCCATGACACGCCTGCCTGTCAGCATCTGCTAGAGGACCAGTGAGGAGCTGGGACAGCAGAGTCACCTAATCACCATGAGGAGGCCAGGCCATCTGGCACCAGTGATGCGAAAGGCAACCTTTGGAAATGACATACGAGGACCTGTATGTACTTTGACTTGGATGAAGTGGCTTGGCCCTCTTGTGAGGCTCATGATGAAGACATCAAAGTCCCCTAAAGGGCACAGCATCCATTGATTTATGTGTAAAATTAGTCCTCACCTTATTAAAGCTACAAATTTAAAAACCTAGCTCTCTATTAAGCCTGAGTTCAACTTACAAATATTGTTCTCTCTATATTGTTCAAATTTTATTATTATTTTTTAAAGATTCTATTTTGAAGTCATCTCTACACCCAGCGGGGGAGCTCGAACTCACAACCCCCTGAGATCAAGAGTCACATGGCTCTCCCGACTGAGCCAGCCGGGCATCCCTTATATATTTATTTAATCTAAGCAATGTTGACAGTTATTCTCCAGAGGCCTCTGATTAATGGATGGTTGCATTTCTAAACTTGCTTAATGATGCTCCTTTAAACACAGCATAATTTCAATTTCCTTTTTACGAACTTTAGTTGATCTGTCTGACCCATATGTCTTCCACATACTTTAAGTTAATTCTCAGAATTTTGGTAGATTTATAACTATGGTAAATCCTAAATCTTCCAACACTGCATATAAGCTTAGGGAGATTTTCACATAAAATCACAGATCTAAACCCATTACTCAGTTACACACTCTAAATTAGAATGCAAAAGTCTTATTGTTACTGGGAAAGGCCAAATTCTCTCAAACATGACGATTATTTACAATTCCAAAAATAGGGGCGCCTGGGTGGCTCAGATGGTTGAGCGTCTGCCTTCAGCTCAGGTCATGATCTCAGGGTCCTGGGATCGAGCCCCGTGCCAGGCTCCTTGCTCAGCGGGGAGTTTGCTTCTCCCTCTGCTGCTCCCCCGGCTTGTGCTCTCTCTCTTTCTTGAATAAATAAATGAAATCTTAAAAAAGGAAGGAAAACCTGATAGCTGCTACAACACGGATGAACTCTGAGGACCTGGTGCCAAGCGCAGCAAGGCAGGCAGAAGGACAAACGCTCTACTCATATGAGGTATTCAGGTACAGAATTCGTATTTAAATTCAGAGACAGAAAGTAGAATGATGGCTTCCAGAGGCGAGGGAAAGGGGAGAAATGGGGATTACTGTTTAATGGGACAGAGTTTCAGCTTTTTAAAATAAAAAAGTTCTGAAGATGGATGGTGGGGATGGTTGCATAAGGATATAAACGTGCCGAATGCCCCTGAACCGGGGTATTATACTTGCCTGACAGTGGTCGAAATGATCAATTTTCTGTAATGTATGTTTTACGATAATTAAAAATAAATAGATTTTTAAAAAGTAACACTATGAGCTTGAATTTCCTAAATATTCTAGGTGCTTTTTAAAGATTTTATTTTTAAGTCATCTGTATACCACAACCCGGAGATCAAGAGTTGCACACTCCATCGACCAAGCCAGCCAGGAGCCCCAACACTTCTGTATGATTCTGAATCTTTCTGGGGTTAAGATACGCTTTTCCAACAGACAGACAGACCAGTGGAACAGAACTGAGAGCCCGGAAATAAACCCAGGCATATACAGTTAACCAATCTTTGACAAGGACACTGAACGGGAGAGAAGATAGTCTCTTGAATCAGTGGCGCCGGGATAATTAGGTATTCACATGAAAAACAATGGAGCTGGACCCCTACCTCACACCACTCACAAAAATTAACTCGAAATGGATCAAAGACTTAAATGTAAGACCTGAAACCACGAAACCCCTGGAAGGAAACACAGACACAAAGCTCTCCCAACGTGGGTCCTGGTGATGGTTTCTTGCATGTGACACCTAAAGCTCAAGCAACTGAAGCAAAAATAAACAAGTGGACAACATCAAACTAAAAAGCTTCTGCACAGCAAAGACAACCTGTGGAACGGGAGAAAATATCTGCAAACCATACATTTGATAAGGGGTTAATCTCCAAAATATAGAAAGAACTCATCGACTCAGTAGCAGAAACACCACCCAATTAAAACATTGGCAAAGGACCTGAACAGACGCTTCTCCGGAGAAGACATCCAGACGGCCAACAGACACATGAAAGGATGCTCAACATCACTCATCCTCAGGCAAATGCAAATCGAAACCACAGGGAGCTCCCACCTCACACCTGTCAGAATGGCCATGATCAAAAAGATAAAAACACAAGAGATACCCAGTGTTAGCGAGGATGTGGAGAAAAGGGAACCCTCTTACACTGTTGGTGGGAGTGCAAACTGGTGCAGCCACTCTGGAAAACAGTATGGAGGTTCCTCAAAAAACGAAAAACAGAACGACCATATGGTCCAGCAATTCCATTTTGGGGAATATATATATAAAAAAAGAAAACAATTCAAAAAGACATCTGCACCCCATGTTCACTGAAGCATTATTTACAGTAGCCAAGACACGTCTATGGATGGATGAACAGATCGAGACATTGTGGTATAAATGTGCACAATGGAATATTATTCAGCCATAAAAAAACGAGGAAGTCCTACCACTCGTGACAACATGACGCCTTCATTATGCTAAGTGAAATAAGCCAGACAGAGAAAGGATCTCACTGATGTGTGGGATCTAAAACAACAAACAACAAACTCAGAAAAAGAGATCAGATGTGTGGTTACCAGAGGGGGGGTAGGGGGGCTGGAGGAAGGGGTCAGAGGGTCCAAACCCCAGGTGCATGGTAAGTAAGCACTGGGGGTGTTGCGTAGCCGACATGCTGTGGGGGAAGCCAAAATCCTGAGTTCTCGCCATGAGGAGGAAAGTGTTTTCTCTCTTTGTATTGGATCTGTACAAGCAACTGGACGTTAGCAGAACCTGCTGTGGTGATCATTTCACACCAAATATAAACCAAACCCTCACACCGTATGCCTCAACCTCACACCATGACGGGTCTCAATTATTTCTCAGACTGGGGAAAAATGCTTTTCCACCGAGGAAACTGTTCCCTCAGCCCAAACGATCTTGGGGTGACCTTGCCCAGACAATCTGAGAGGCGCCTTCCCTGCAGGCGAAGCTGTGGGACCACGTACCCCCCAGGGGGCACATGAGGTGGAGGGCTGCAGACAGAAAGGGCAATTTCTCGTAGGACTCTGTCTGATGGGCCGAGCAGCCTGAGCGGACACGGTACCCCGGACTCAAAACCTCGGGCGGGGTTGAGCTGCCCGAGGCCACGCTCTCTCCTTTCCAAGGCTGCTCCATCCTGGGCCCGATTCTGCATCTCTTTGGCTTTTCAATGACCTCTGTGTTTCCCTGTCTTGCTCGAGGGCCCGCTGGGTTTGTGGGGATTCGGCATTCTTTCTGCCCCAGCGAGGTGACCCTACAAATACATCTGGAGGACCGGTATTTGGATTCTAAGTGGGGTCTAAGTCACGCCCCGCAACTGCGGAGGCCGCTCCCACGACAGACCGCCCTCACCAGCTGCTGTTGAGCAAACCTACCTTCAATCTTCGTCTTGAAGTGAGGGTACCTGTTGAGAATCTCCACCTGCTTCCTCCAGTCGAAGCCATTCCGCCAGTAGGAAAGGACTTTCCTCAGGTACTTGGAGTTGAAGCCAAAATGGAAGCGCACGTCCTCCAAAGGTGGGGTCAAACGGACCCTGTCGATCCTCCAGTGTAAGTCCTGGAGCAAAATGCGGGACCCCGGGGAGGGAGAGGGGTTGGGGGGGGCAGAGCACAGAGCAGGTTTGTTTCCAGAACGCAGAGGAAGCCTGCAGTGACAAGACAGCGTGACAGCAGAGGAAAGCCGCCTTGTCCTGTTGGAGGGTGAGGAGGCCGCTGGTCTGCAGACGTGCGTGCTGGGCTGCCAGGTTCACCCCAGAAGGAGCCTCCTTGTTTCCCACAACAGCGGCTGTTCCCAAAGCCTATGTTCTTCGCTTTTAAAAAAATTGAGAGAGAGCGCGCGCGTGTGCGCTTGCAACGGGGAGGGCAGAGGGAGAGAGAATCTTAAGCAGCCTCCCCCTGAGCGCAGAGCCCGATGCAGGACTCGATCCCGGGGCCCTGAGATCACGACCCGAGCTGAAACCAAGAGTTAGCCCCTGAGCCGATGGAGCCCCCCAGGCGCCCCTATGTTCTTCACCTTTGACTTCATGTTTACTTCTCTTTGTTTTTAACCCCATGAACGACACGCATCTTTAACTTCTCTGGGCTTACGCGTGGCCGGCAAACCTTTTGTCAGAGGCCAGACAGTAACTATTTTAGGCTTTTCTCGCGGCCACTGGGCCACTCTGTCCCCGGAGCCTGGAAGCAGCTGGAGGCAGGGCGCGGACGAACGGACATGGCTGTGTGCTAGTAACACTTTATTTACAGACACGGAAATCCGTGTGCCATGCACAGTTCACCCATCCCGAGACTGCTCTTTTTGGATTGTTTTCAGCCGTTTAAAGATGGAAAAGCTCTTCCTAGCATGGGGGCTGTATAAACAGGTGGCAGGACAGACATGTCCCACGGGCTGTGGTCAGCAGACTCCGAGCCTCATCACTGAGGGAACCACGGTACCTCCGTTGGGATCAAGACACAGACCAGGAGAGAAGGTGCAAGCCGACCGGCCGAGCATTGGGCTAGGGTGTCCGCGTCCGCTCCTGGGGCCTCCCAAGTGTTACCTTCTCAGTCAGCGTCCTCCCGAGCACTCTAGGAGCCCAGGGTTCAGATGTTTGAGACTGAGTCTGAGAAGCCACGGAAGGCGTTATCCTCAGGGCCCAGCCTCCGCCCTGAACAGTGAGGCGGCGGCAGCCCTACCCAAGGAGCGTCCGCCTGCTTTCTCTTGGGTGCAGCCCGCTTTCTGCTTCTTGAAAGCTCACTTTTTATTGGCACGTCTTACGGCGTCCTCCCTCACTGATCCCTCAGTTACCTTTCCTCCGTGCCCAGTCCTTCTCTCAACTACGGGACTATGAGGGAACGGCGGGAAGGGCCTCTCTCTCCACTGGGCACCCAGCACCGCGCCTGCATAAAACAGGTGCTCCGATATGCATAGCCCGAGAGCAGGAATGGGTGGGGACGTCCCGGGTCCCATTCACCCTCCTGGCCCAGGATCCCACCTAACTCCAGCGTGGGGAGGGGCACAAGCTCTGGACTTGGATGGACTCGAATTTGAATCCTGCTTATTATCTCAGTCACCTGGGGTAAATTGCTTTACCTCTCTGAGCTTCAATTTCTGCACCTGTAGAAGGAACGCCAGTCCTCACCCTACAGGGTCACTGCAGGGACTGAACGTGACCACAAGCACCTGGCACACAGCAGGCGCATAATTAATGCTGACCCTGCGGCAGCTTCTCTGTACCCTAGCATTTGATGTCACCATGGCTCGCTTCTCACTTAGGACCTCCGCCCAGGGCCCTGATGAGAACCTGCTGGCTTTCTCTTGCAAGCTCACTCCCAGGGTTTCATGGGGGCGCAAAGGAGGAGGAAGCTGCTTTCTGTGACCTTCGATGCAGGTGCCCGGGGCCAGCTGGCACGCCCCTCTCACCTGGGCCCTGCTGGGCCTTGGGCAGGGGAAGGAGGAGACAGAGGAGGAAGGAGCAGAGGGGACGGTGGGCAGGGGGGCAGGCTCTGCACCTGCCCGGTGGGAGAAAAGCAGAGGGAAACCCGCTCCCCAGGCCCGTCCCAGCCGCAGCCTCATGGGAACCATTGAAGGGGCCTTGCTGCCCTCCCCTCTGCTCAGCCCCCCTGCAAAAGGTGCCTTACCTCGATCTCCTCCTCGGAAGTCTCGACCTTGAAAGGGCGGATGCTCTCGTCCTCTGCAGCTGCGGGCCTCGCCCCAGGCCCCCACCACCCATCTTCAAGAGGCAACGTTTCCTCCTTGTCCCGGGAAACAAACCAGTAGATGACAAAACCCAGCACAGAGGTGAGGAGAATTTCCAGCCACATGATTCCTGCAAGAGCGAGGAGACGCTGAATCCCCACCTGCTCTCCCACCTGGCCCCTGACGTCATATACTTTTTTTTTAAAGTAAGCACCATGCCCAGCACGGAGCCCAGTGCGGGGCTCGAACTCACGACCCTGAGACCAAGACCCGAGCTGAGATCAATAGTCGGACCCTTAACTGACTGAGCACCCCAGACCTCAGGTACTTCTAACCTAGAAAAAGAATATAAGCACATAGAAGAACCGGAAACCAAGAAAAAAAAAGACAAGATTCATCCGTAATTCTACTGAGCTATGACATTCATTCTTCAAATTAGAAATATATGGACTCAGGGCAGCTTCTCCATAAGCCCCGGGTGTGGGGGCTGCACTTCCACGGCCTTGCGTTTCTCTGAGGGGCCTTCAACCCTGGAAGCTTCTCTCCACCCTCGTGAGCTCCCCCATCCCCCAGGAGAGCTGGGCTCCGGAGGCTCTGCCCCTTACTGTCTCTGGAGGGACCTGTCCCCATGCACATCGGGAACCAGCAGGGAGGTTCAGGGGGTGTCACAGGGGGAGTGTTACGAGGCCCGAACACAGCCATACGTCTCAGCTGTAATTTTAAAACAGTTTTAGGAGATGGAATTCACATGACGTACAATCCACCTGCCTCAAGTGTAGGATCTGTTGATTTTTAATGCATTCGCAGCTACGTGCGGCCAGAACTACCATTTTAGAACATTTCCATTACCACAAAGAGAAACTCCGTAGGTCTCAGCCCCTTGATGTCCCTATGGCGGCCCAGCCCTAGGCAACCACGAACCCCCTTTCTGTCTGTGTAGACCCACCTATCACGTTCGTAGAAGCTGTCCAAGTCCTCTTTGCTGAAGGACCCGCTGGGGCCTTGCCGAGGCCCTGAGGTTGGCTCCTGCCGCAGCCGCCCCCCTAAACCGGGCCACCGGGGGGCTGGTCCTTGAAATCCTGGTCCACGGGCGTCCAGAAATCACAGGCTCCCTGCCCTTCCCGCAGCACCTCAGAGATCGAAAGTCCCTTGCTGTCCCCACCCCACTGATACAGGGGACAGGTGTGTGCCCCCCTCCCCCCCAGGCCTTCTTGCTCCTGGGGGCTTGCGGTCTGGGCAGGTGACAGGCAGTGTTGGGGAGGGCTTCCTCCGGGCTCTGCTCGGAGCACTCTGTGCCATTCAGCTCACCTAATTATTGTAATAGGCCCATTTTACAGATGAGGAAATGAAGGCTGAGCAGTGTGTCCAAGCCCGAAGAGCCCGCAGATGGGGGAGGCAGGTTCCCAAACTGGATGGACACCCTCCCACCTTACTCCCCACGCTTGGTTACGCGGGGAAGATTTCTCTGCACAATGGAACTGTGTGCCTCTCGAAGGCAGGGAGGATGTCCTTTGCCGCCCTAAACCCTCTCTGTTTCCCTCTAAGGTGGCACGGCGACGTGGACGGCACCACCACAACTGTAAGGGAGCTAGCTCCTAGAGAGAAACTAGGATAAATCAAAACCTTGCAGGAGAATTTCCTACAATCTCTGGAAAACGGGCAGAATCTACTAGAACTGGACCTTGACGAAGTCTGTGACTCAGCAATTACCCCAGGTATAGACCCGCCCTGAACGTGTGCACGTTTGCTAAAAGCCATAAACAGCAGCTCTATCTGTGCAGCCCCCTAAACTAGAAATGACCCAACGCCACCCATTCCCGGATCACGGGGTCTTCACGATAGCACCCCACACTATGAGACGGTGCCAAGCCGGAGAGCCAGACGCAAGAGAGCACACGTGGCCTGATTCCCTTTATAGAAAGGAAAGGACAAGCACGACCGTAATCTACTTACGGCGAGACTCCGGGAAGGTGTTTTCCTCAGGCGGCGGGGCGGGGCCGGCACTCACGGCTGTTAAAGTCCCGTGTGATTACAAAGTGTGGAAGGGACAGGTCTGCACGCGGCCCAGGGAAGAGAGACGCGAAGAGCAAGGCTCAGGCAGGAGCAGGGCACAAGTCAGGGGTGCGCAGAGCCGTCGCCGCAGGGACACTCTGTTAGGAGCCGGGGTGGCCACGGTCACGGGCCCCCCGAGCCTGCATGCTGCCCCTCAACTGCGGCAACCCACCTGGGCTCTGACTCTTTACTCAGCAAGACAGGCAGCCTGGTTCCCGGAAGCTGGGGGTGCACGGGAGGGCTGACCTGATCGCTGGGTCCCCTGGCGGGGGTGACACACTATATTCCAGCCCCACCACACGCCAAGTGACACGCAGACCCCTTGTGGGTTTGGGGAAGCACCGTGATCCATCTGGGTATCACCGTTTGAGGATCCGGTGTGGCTTTCCCGGAGAACCCCCATTCTGTGGCACCCCCCCCAAGAGAAACTCTGACCACCCTGACTTTAAGAACTGGAACATCTTGGGGTTTACAAAAAGGGAGCTTCTACTCTTTCCGGCAGTTGAAATCCCAGTGCCACCGCCTTCCCGCGAGCTACCAAACCACCCTGCACATCTGTGGCCTCGTAAACTGGGGGTAACCATGCCCGGCTCAAAGCAGGTGCTCCGCCAATGTGCCTTCCTTCCCCTGAATCCCTTTTTACTGTGCGCAATCTTCAGGCTGGCAGAGACCCCAGAGGACGCCGTCTCTATTAGACAAATGAGCCCGCACCCCAGAGCCGTGCATGACACGGGCACCTGCCATCTGGGAGTATCTTCTCCCCAAGGACGTGGCTTGGGAGGATGGAGGCGGCGCGATGGGACCTCTGGCCATCTGCATCCTGAAACCCCTGTCCCTGGGCAGGTGCCCGTCTTTGTTTCCGTCTGTCCTGAGAAGCTGCAATTCTCAGCCCTGGGGGCAGATTTCTGTCTGGCCTTCACGTTTTCAGGGAGAGCTCTTGCACAGGGTCAGCTCCTGCTGGGGTAGAAAACACTCCACCCCCTTCAAAACATCAAGGTTCAGGAGCCACTGTGAAAACTTCAGAAGAGTCATGCGATGCAGAAGCAGCAGGCCTGTTTCGTGGGGCGGGCTCCTGCCGCCCGAGCCTGGGAGGCACGCTCTGAAAGCTCCCGAGACGTATTCGACCTGACTGCATTGCCCTGTGTTGTTTGGTTCATAAGGCACTTTCCCAGAACCCAGACCAAACACTCTGCTGGGAGAGCTGGGGGAGCAGAGGGGAGGAAGTCTTTCCCAACGAAAGCATTTTTTCCTTGGAGTTAGGCTACCCTTCCTAAAAAAGAGATCAGCTTGCTTCATAAGGAAAATGTACTTTTTGTTGTAAACCAGCCTGATTTCTTTCTTTCTTGTTTAGCATAATACCTGACAGCGGTCATGTGGTTACAGGAGACTGTGCTCAGAGGGACGTTGAGGACTCAGATAAGAAACGAGATCCTATGGAGTTTAAATCCCCAAATTCTTCCCTGAGGTCAAGTTCCGGACACATACTTATGCAACCGGGGGGAAAAAAATCACGATCGGGGCGCCTGGGTGGCTCCGTCGGTTGGGCGTCTGCCTTCGGCTCACGTCATGATCTCAGGGTCCTGGGATCGAGCCCCACATCGGGATCCCTGCTCAGCGGGAAGCCTGCTTCTCCCTCTGCCCCTCACCGGCTTGTGCTCTCTCTCTCTCCCTCACTCTCTCTCGAATAAATAAATACATAAAATCTTAAAAAAAATCAGGGATCAGTTTGCAGCGAAGAAGTTACTTGGGCAATATGGTGACCTTAGGACTGAACGTAAAGTACTTGAAAGTGACAAGGGAAGCCCCCCGGGGCAGTGAACTGTTTCCTCCCGCCTTGCTGGGTCTGACTTAGGAAGCACAACTCTAAATGCAGGAGGGCAAATAAAGGAGGCGCTTCTGTCTGCCACATGGCTGAAAAGAACATTAGTCTGATAATTTTACCGAATGCCATCTCTCTGTTGTGCTTGGGGCAAAAACACAAGTTTAAAAACAGACAATTCATTTAAGGACTGAGACTAAAAGCTCCACTCTTTTCTTGTAACTTGAATTTGGTCTGTATAAAGTATCAGGAAGTCATGTATTCTTGTAAAGTAAATGGGAGATTTGGATTGGTGCCTTGGAAAAGTAAGGATCGCTTTGCTTTTTGGACCAGAGACGAGCTCAGCAGACACCGCGCGTGCGTGTGACGAGGAGCCGGGTTCTTTGCAGGCACAGGGAGTGAGCAGGTGCCCACGCTCCAGCAAGACAGACGTGCTGATGGACACCTGACACCCTCCCAGGGATGGGCACAATGATACACGTACGCAGGTGGAGAAGCGTGCAAAGGTGGGCATGGTTAAGTCGGCCACAGAGGCTTCATGAGGAGGCAGCGGATTGGAGGGATACCCTGGGGTCCGCCAGCAGCGCACCTGCAGCGAGGAGCCCCGAGGGCCCCCACGTGGGCAGTGCTGGCGCTGACAGGCGAGAGCTCCGGGGTGCGGCTCTCGTGTCTGTCCCTTCCCCACCCTTCTGTGATGTGTTACTTCATCACGCCGCCGCCGGGGGGTTGTAACTCAGGAGTCAGGATTGCCATTCAGGCGCCCCTTCTGTAGACTGGGAGCCGGGACTCGGGAGCGAGGTAAGGAAATGGGCACGGCGTGGCTGCGTGAGAAGAAGGTGGGCTGGCCGGGTTACTGGGGACCCAGCACTGTGCCCCCGCGGCCTGCAGCGAGCTGGCCGCTCAGCAAACATGCGCCGGGACTGAGGCAGCGCCGCTAGGCGCCAGCGACCTTCCGCCCTTCCTTCCCGGCTCGGGAGTTTGCTTTTAGCGGCAAAGCCCAGCTAAACGCTACGCTTCTTGGCCCTCCCCGCAGCTCCGTCTGATGGAGGGATTAGGTGCCGACGAAGAGCCGTAAGTGTATTTAGGGCAGAGCCACCCACGGCCCCAACAGCACTGGGTATGAATTGGGAAAAGACGCCCGTTCTTCAAAACGCAATCAGAAAATTAACCTACTGTACTGCTTCGGTCATAAGATGCCTCATTGTCATCTGCTGGAAAGTATTTGTAAGTAAACATGCAAATCCACGATGTGGGTGACCTGCATTGCATCCCTCGGGTCGCACAGTGCGCCACCTGCACGAGGGTGCATGGGTCCTGCACGTGTGTGGCAGACCACGTAAAGGGCGCTGACTCAGCTGGGAAGCGTGCACCTCTTGCCCTTCCCCTTCCTCCTTCATGCTTCTGGGGATACAGATGCGATGCCTGGACCCCGGTAGCCATTTTGGGCCAGGAGGGGATCTTGAGGAGAGAGGTCAGCGCTGGGGCAGTGATGGGGATGACGGGTTCCAGCTGACTGTGGCGCCAGTGGCCCAGTCCTGGATTACTTACTCCAAACTTCCTCTGGCTGACAGGGGGAACAAACTTCTTTATTGTTTGAGCCACTGTCACTCTATTGTATTATATCAATCCTCACGAATTGTGAAAGTCGGGGGGAAAAGAAAATATACCCAGTCCTCCCTGTGGACACTCTCTCAACAAGAAACACTCAGTCTTCAAAAGGTTCACTGCTGTATCCGCGCTCCCTGGTTGAGACATGTACCCGATGAATAAACATCATCCTGTGGCCGGGCCACAGAGAAGGGATGTTCTCCAAGGGCAGACACAATGCAGTGGTGGGTGGGGAGTCCATGGAACCTGCGCCCTCATCCTTCTCGAGGACAAGAGAGGGTGTCTTCCCACTCGGCTGCTTCTTTACATGAAAGGCAATTCTGTGACATCTGTCAAAATGTGAACCACGTGTGACCGGCAACTCCACGCTGGGATTTCTCTCCCCAGAACATGGAACCTGTGTTGTCATAAAATGTCTTATGCACAAGAGTATTTGCTGCAGGTTTTCTCCCCCTGCCCTCTCGGTAAAAGGGTAAGACTGGAAACAACCTGAATGTCCATCAGCTGGGGACGGAAATAAGCTGTGACGGATTCATTGAACGAATTTAGGGCCAGCCACCCCAAATATGCCCCTTTGGCATTGTGATGATTTTAAATAAAAGTCACTTAGGAAGCAGCTGGTGCGAGAGCCCTCAGACCCTCCTGTGTCCC